CAAAGTTATTGTCATATGTTGCGTTTAATCTTAAATTACACTTTTGCTTCTTAGCAAATCTATGATATAAATTTTTGGAATACAATAGAGCTAGATGATCGTCATCTACCTCCATGGGTTGAGAGTTTTCCCTCTGCGCCTTTAACGAAGATTTCACAACGCAAATAGAGTTGACGCTGGCCGAAGAAAGTTTATTCCGTTTCTTTGTTTTTATGTCAGGTAACATGGAAAACAATCTTTCTGCATCGGCATTGGAATTTGGAAGTGATCTAATTGTATTTACTAATTTCATCAATTCAGGAAATTTAATTTTATAGTCCAAATTTCGCGTTAATAAAATTGTTTTCCAGAAACCATCGAATTTCATCTCGATAAGCGTCTGTCTACCTTTCGTTGTAAATTCCAAAGGCAATACTGACCATTCTGTTTGCAGTCCTTCTTCGTCGAAACCGCCGAATTTCTTAGCGATTAAGAGAACATTTCTGAAGGAAATGTCTCTATTTGTATCATTTAATATAAAAGTGGGCTCAAAAACATACAACTTGCTAAGAAATTCATCATCGATTGCCAATTTCGTTTGCAGCTGTAATATAAAACATTAAACAATTTTTCCTTACGGTTTCTACGATGTCGGACTTGCCTTCTGCATTCAGTTGATGCAGAAAATTAAGACACTCTGTTCCTAAATTTATACTATTAAATGGAAGTTGATTTTCGACTACAGAAAAATTCATCATTCTTACTAAATCCATGTGTTTCAAAAGCTGCGGTTTCAGAAAATTGCGTAATATATCGCATAAAAGTTCTGCCGCAGTCTTTTGAAGCAAATGAATTCTTGTCTCTTGAGTTTGAAAGAAAATGCTAAATTTATAAAAAAACTCAAGAGCGTAATTTAGAAAATAAAGATATGCTTTGGCCTCTGGATTTTGCATCGAGATTAACAGACGTTCCCCGGACTCTGATTTCTCGCTTATTGTCAATTCTTGCAAAAAAAGCAATACAGAGTCCCAATTCTCTAAAAGTGTAACTACGGATGTATAATGCGATAACCATCGCGTAGAACACAATTTTAAAATTTTTCTGTCGGTTGTTTGAAAACATTGCTGAAATTCGCGGAATATAGCCGAATGTTTGGAACTACTGTATATGTTCCGTCCGGTCAGTTCGGGTTTTTCCGCTCGTTTATGGTGCCAGATGCGGAACCTTGACTTTGTCGAAAAAGTCTTCGAACATTCCGCATCTGGCAAATTTCATCGTAAAGCATTCAAGCACTTTAGCTTTTCGAAAGTGCAAGGCCCGAGTTGACCGACGAAGGGCTGCATTGTTCCGCGGGTGGCACGGTCCTCTACAACGACCGTCGCCAACTCATGGAACAATGCAGCCATAAAACGTCTGCAACGCACGTGTAGCTAGGCGTAATTCGGAGTCCCGTTTTTTCCTCGGCAAAATTAACGGGGCCTTCGACTTGGGGAGGAAACCTCGGTCACCCTCGTCCAGGGTGAGATGGGACTCTTCCTCCTCCACGATCGCGCGAGGGAGGAGTTTCCTGGCCAACGGGGCAGGAAAATCGATCCTCCTCCCCCAAGTCGATGGCCAATCGATAAACAGAAAAAGTCAACGCGAATCGGTTGACGAATCCCCAAAATCGCGTCTCGGAGGGGGTTCAAGCCGAGGAGGAAACGGGCTCCGGACACTTCGACACTCGTCGCTGAAACCTCAGACAACAACGATCGAAATCTTTAATTCGTCGCTAAAAGTTCGAAGACAACGGTCTAAATCCACTTTAACTCGTCGCTGAAATCTCAGAGTAAACGTTCCAAAATCGGCAGTTCAATCGTCTCGTGAACCATTCGTTATTCGAACATCATTTCGCGAAACCTCAGCTCAAGCGGTTCGTGAGCAACAATTCGTGATTCGACATTAAAGAGAACAGCCGGATTTCGATTCGAAACAATCCGGCAATTAACTAGTCGCTCAAGATTAATTTGGCGAGCGACGGCTAGGAACCCGCGTACCACGAGGGTTAAGAGGGCCTTACAACCCCTCAGAGTTTAAACGAAAACTCACGCGACTACCTGGTCAGTACCGCCGCGACGGTACGATTCAGTATATGAAAGTTGCTACTTTTCGTAACAACTCCTCGCATATGTCTGGAATGGTATTGCACGCTTCGCGCACTACCATTGCAGACAGATGACACGGACAGCGGACAGTCAAAAATTTGTCCCTGCATTTTGTTGCAAGCTTTGTCATAAAGGACGAGTGTCGCCCTGTCATGACAGCAGCGTTGTCACATGACAATGCGACAATATTTTCGAACGGAATTTCTCTTTCTATCATGGCAATTTCAAATGTTTTAAATAAATTATCTGCGTCACAATTTCTGGCATCAAGATGTAATAATTCTACCAATTCCGTTCGAACATCCAAAGTCTCGGGTGCAACATAACGAACAAGAAACGTCATCCATTTCTCGTTGGTCGAGTCGGATGTTTCGTCAATATAAATAGAAAATTTAGTGTTTTGTAAAACACTAGAAATACGTTTTGTTTGTAAAGGATACAAAATATATTTCATTTTGCAGAAATGAATTTAGAGGGGAATCAAAAAAAAAGGAAAGAAGAATATAGACGTTCTAATATATGGCATGTGATAATGTTACAAAGAAATAAAAATTTTTTACATTTCCCTCCTGATGGAAGTGACCACCACCTTCCCGTGGTTTCCATTGAACGGTAGCGTGCACGTTATTCTTTTACCTATCGTTACAATTATTTTGTTATGTAAAGTTAAGTCAAATATATAACATTTGATTGTGTGTAACAATTTGATACGGTTATTAAAAAACATAGTGGGAAAAGTCAGTAGTAATCTATTTCTGTAGCGTGCACGGTACTGGCTAAGAGTGGCTTTTCATTTTAATTAACCCTTAATTAACCCTTTACGAGTAAGACTGCTTTGAACAACATTATTCTAAAATATTTGTGGAATACGTTTTTTATGTGGTTTAGGTAGGTATGCAAGGCATAAGATTTCGTTTAATTTTTCCTGTCTAGGAAAGATAGGAGAAAAATATATTTGATCTTAATCCTTCTTAAGATTTATATAAATCGCTTTAAAAATTTGTTACAAATGATGTGTATGTATCGAAATAATTATAAAACTAAAAACGTATAATCATCATTATATGGGAGCTGATCACGCTTAAAATAGAATGAGACCTTAAAACGAGAACATAAAACTTAAATGTTAAGTTTCATTGAAATTCATTCAGCCGTTTAGACGCAATCATGTCAATAGCATAGGAACGAAAAAAAAAAATATGTTTTTTTGTAGTAGTCACAATATGATGAGGGGGTCCTAAAACGTGTATTTCCGCTAAAAAAAAACTTCAAAATTTTTTTTCATTATGATACTTTATAAATTTCCTTATACCTTACATGTAGGTCGGAAAGTAAAAATGCTGGGGCAGTCGAGACTTGGAATCGTATGCCACTTATCGCGAGGTCGTATTTCAGTTGTTTTGTCTTTTACAAGAGCAAGAAGGAAAGGCTCACACTATCGTTCTTTATCGATTTCCCGAAGTTGTGCGAAGTGCCGAGCTCACGTACACGTGGCTCGTGCGGTAGTGTATGCCTGCTATCCCCACCATTCCGTTAGACGCTAAGGAAGTTCGTCGTCACTGTTGTCGATTTCGATGCACTCAATTATGCCCGATCTGGCCACACTGCTCCCGATTCTTTCTTGTCTCTCGAGGCCCAGGGAGTACCTAGGGACAAATTCCCTATAGCATCCCGGCCTCTCTTAATGGTTGGCATCGGCGCCACTCGCGCCATCTGCGGGAGTAACTAGGGAGTTACTAATGCTCCCTATACTATATACAATTTATGTTGGATCTGTGATCTGTGTTTAAACTGCCAGATGTGTAGCGTCGCCTCCCATTCTCGCCACCAGAGGGCTCGACCGACCCCTCGGTTGCTATACTATATACAATCCTCGGCCGACTTCCCGATATCCGGATATCTCAGTCGTCTAAAGCCGTGTCCCCACTGGGTCGGCAAAGAAATGGCTTTGCCGCGGTGCATAGCAGTGGCACGGCCGTGCCGCCTTGTGCCGCCTTTTGCCGAGCCGTGCCGACCCAGTGGGGACGCAGCTTAAGACAGGGCTTGCTAGGAAGTCTCCTTACTGACGAGTCCACTAGCAGACCCGAACGAAAAACGGCGCACCCTCCTTTCCTTTTCTGTCCTACGATAATTTCTCCGAAATCAGAGCAGCAGAGCAGCGCCACAAATGTATCAATATTGAAGTCCAATTACCAAAATTCATCTTCAATAACATGTTCAACGCATTTTCTCCAATTTTCAACCGTAACATGTTCTAGTAACTCGTAAATCTCGTGTTCGAATATCTTTAATCAACTTTTGAGGGGGTGATTCTACAGATTAAAATACGACGAAAATCAAGAATGACAATATTTCGGTAAAAGTTTTGTCTTAAAGTTATTAACAATTAAAGATTCGATGGAATCACGGTATATTTCGAACAGCTGCGTGCACTAATAGTGTATTAACCCCTTACATATTAAAATCAACACATTTTTACATTCACGAGGTATTCGTAAAACAAATCTATCCTTTTTTGTATCCATTTATTCTACGAACTTTAAACAAAATTAAATACGATACGTTTAAAAAAATTATTTGAAATTAAATTGTATGTCAAGGGGTTAATAGTAGTTCTTGGGTCATTCCACGTGAAATCGGACAGCTTTTAGAGTAAGTTTTCAAATTATGTTCAACTTTGATATTCAAACGTATCTCAAAAAATTTTTCAAAATTTTGAATATCGTTGAAGCGACAGACGTGTAAAGTTTAGTGCCACCTTTTTCAACTTTTGTCAACGAAACTGATTCGTTCTTCCCCCCAAACTAATATTTATTGCAACATTTCTCGAAAGTAGATAAAATTCCCGAGAATTAACAATTTATTTGTACATTCTAGAACAATTTTATGGTTCGAACTAACGAGCCTTGTTCGTTCATAAGCGAAATAGTGCAACGAATATTCCATTCGATCCCTCCACTTTGAAGTCGTAACTCCAAAAGGTAGAAAGAACATTCGATAAAAATGATGGATCTTGGAATTTTGCGGCAAATACTCATCGGAATCGTCTGTAAGTATCGCTGACTTCGGTAATACAGTAGTGTCCACATAAATGACCAAGCTCGGGACCGGCGGCGGTCATTTATGTGGGCATGGTTACTTCTCAGAATTCAACGGAAATAAAGAAAGAGGATAAGTGCGAGTGAGATACAATAGCTGGCACCCGAAACCATATACACATTCTTCCACGAGAAGAAGGCACAGCGTGTTTACATCCCCACTCCTGTTTCAGTCCGCTGTCTCACAGGTATTGGTCGAAAACGGTGACGAAGATCGGTGACAGCCAATCAGCGGACTGCAGCAAGAGTGGGGATGTAAACACTCTGTGCATTCTTCTCGTGGAAGGACGATACCTACAAATATGTATACAATGTACAGTGAAAACTCGATAAATGTCCTCAAGAGCTGTTCCATAAATGATACATTTTTATCCCCACCACTAGGGGGATCCCCCTTGAACCAGTGAGGCGAAGTGTAACCGGAGACGTAGCGGCTTTCTTTAAAAATCTTTATTGCCTTCGTCATCTTAGTTTAAATGTCCCTGTCAGTGTGACCACACTACTGTACAAGAAGAAAGTTTTTTATTTTTTACTTTTTTTTAATAAAAATTTTACTATCATGTGGGGAAGATTTTTCTAATTAAAATGAGACTAAACACGATATAAATCGGCCAATATTTGTTACCATAATATTGAATTAAATATTGTGTACTCGTATCTTCGCAAGGTCAGTGGATAGTACATTTATCGAACAGAGGTAGCTAACGAAACCTCCTATCTCATAAGTGTTGCAGTTTTTGATCACTTACGGAACGGTGGAAGCGTTCCGTTTGAAAATAGCTACCTCCCATTCGATAAATGTAGCCAGCACCTTGATCCGTCGTTCTTTGATGTTTCCGAATATAGAAAAGGACATCACACGAAGGATAAATAAAGAGAGAAAGACTCGCAAGTACAATATTTAATTCAATATTATGCTACCAAATATTGACCGATTTATATCGTGTTTAGTCTCATTTTAATCAGAAAAATTTCGCCCATATGATAGTGAAATTTTTATTAACAAAAAGTAAAAAATAAAAAACTTTCTTCTGTGCAGTAGTGTGGTCACACTGACACGGCTATTTATCGAGTTTTCACTGTATCGATAAGGACCGGCGTCAAGTTACGCCCGACACGCTCGATGTTCGAAGGCGCTTGGCTTCTAAAGCCGTGTCCCCACTGGGTCGGCAAAGAAATGGCTTTGCCGCGGTGCATAGCAGTGGCACGGCCGTGCCGCCTTGTGCCGCCTTTTGCCGAACGCTGTGCCGATCGGCAAATGCCGAGCCGTGCCGACCCAGTGGGGACGCAGCTTAAGAATTGATGAGGATAATCGTGGTCACTTATGTGAGCACTACTGTATCGGCGTTGTTCTATCGGAGGACAAAGAATTAACGAAAGAATTTTAACGTTGCTCGGTTGTTACGCTTAGGCAATCTTCTGATCATCGATAGTGGATTGCACGAAGGATGGAGCACCCCAATTATACCGAAATTCGGGAACGAAGATTCTTTAGAGGTGTCGACCGACAGAGTCGTGTGGGTGGTGAATTTGATGTACGTCGGTGTTGGCCTTGGCTCGATCGTGCCGTTTCTCCTGATGGACAGGATCGGTCGCAAGGGGACGCTACTCTTCGCTACGGTGCCAAAGATTGCCAGCTGGATCTTGATCGGTAAAGCAAAATCCGTTCTTGTACTTTACATCGGTCGAATATTGGCCGGAATTGGGTGCGGAATAACGTACGCCGTGATGCCAATGTACCTTGGAGAAGTTAGCAGCAAAAGGTCGCGTGGACCATTAGGTACGATTACTTTATTTTATTCTCGTTTTTTTTCAATTCCATGGTTGGATCGGGATTAAAAAGGTAGAAAAATGCTAAACCTCATTTTGTTACTAATAATTAACGATTTATTATACATTCAAAAGTGGAAAACACGTGCAACGCGCACGGCCATAGTCACTCATAAAAGCAACACCATACTTCACGATGCCACGCAGCACCGCTCTAGTCCCGCTCTCGTGCATGCATAGTATGCGTAAGGCATGGAAAATTTCAATGATTGGTGGAATAAATCTGAGGATAAATATCTTCGGTAAGGAATTTCCTTTACCGAGTAACGAAGGAAGAAACAGTTACGCTTATAAATAGAAAGGGATACAACGCTGCACGTCACAATGTGGCAACTTTACATTTCCTACCCGATTACGCCATTGCTTACTGCCAACCTCTCAAAGCTTAATTCCCGTAAATCAGACCTTATAGCCGATTAGCACATAACGCAAATAACAAAGTACTATGATAATTTTGCACCTCTATTTGTTGATTATATGTTTATTTTTAAAATATAGCATGTATAGATAACAAAATGTTTTCATTTCAAGAACTAAAAATTTAATCACTTAATATTTATAAAAGGATATTAAAAAATCATACAATACATATGATCCAAATACGAACGAACTTATGGATTGACCTGATAGTATTCCATTTAATGAATTATAGGTCACAATAACAAATTGACGTAAGCTATTATAATAGTTATAGAAAACAGTAAAATCGGTTACCTTTTTAAATAATTTCTCAATACTTACTATTTGCAAGAAAAGCGTTTTTAAAAAATAAAAAGGGTGAGAAATGATTCGATCGAGTTGTTCAGGTACACTGATAGCGGTTCTTCTAAACACGGGAATGATGATGGCGTACGCGATTGGTCTGTGGGTGAGTCGTTTCACGATGTCCATGATTGCGGTCTCGATCCCGATCGTGTTCCTCGTGACGTTCGTCTGGCTACCGGAGAGCTCGGTGTTTTTGACGAAGAAAAACAAGCTGACGTCCGCGGAGAGGACGCTGAAATGGGCTCTGGGCAAGGAGGACGTGGTGGAGGAACTGGAAGAGATCAAACGGATCGTCGCGACGGAGGATTCTAGCGTAAAAATAACGTTCCACGGGTCGTTTCGGGAAAGCTTGGTTAGGAGAGAGAATCGAAAAGCTTTTCGTATCGCGTTGATCGTTCTGAGCGCGTTGACTTTAACAGGCGCCGCGCCGCTTTTGGCTTATCAGTCGTTCATATTCGAGGAGGCTGGTTTTGAAATCTCAACGAACGTTAGCATCGTTATGACTGGCTGTGCGATAGTGCTCGCGGGCATCGTCTGCGTGACGCTGGTGAGGATCATCGGCAAGAGATTGCTTCTTCTGTTCTCGACACCCGTCTGCATTTTGTCGTTAGCGGCGCTCGCAATTTTCTTCGGCCTCCTCTCAAGCGGCCACGACGTCTCCAAGCTCCGATGGATGCCCACGGTCTTCCTGGTGGTTTATGTCCTCGGTTACGGCCTCGCTTTGAACCCCGTGCCTCTCGCTTACGTTGGCGAAATCTTTCACGTCGACGTTAAGGTGCCCGCCGCTATATTCTGCTCGCTTTACTACGCCCTCGTTACGACCACCGTCGTGAAATTCTATCAGGTAGGTTCGTACACCACTGCTAATAGACGTACTACTTATCGACCTTATCAACCTTCCACGAGAAGAAGGTACAGCATGTTTACATCCCCACTCTTGCTGCAGTCCGCTGATTGGCTGTCACCGATCTTCGTCACCGTTTTCGACCAATACCTGTGAGACAGCAGACTGCAACAGGAGTGGGGATGTAAACACGCTGTGCCTTCTTCTCGTGGAAGAATGTGTATATGGTTTCGGGTGCCAGCTATTGTATCTCACTCGCACTTATCCTCTTTCTTTATCTCCGTTGAATTCAGAGAAGTAACCATGCCCACATAAATGACCGTAGCCGGTCTCGAACTAGGTCATTTATGTAGGCACTACTGTATTACTGAAGTCAGCGATACTTATAGACGATTCCTTTGAAACGACTAGAATAATTCTCTTTTCTTACGTTCTTTCAGGTTAGTTTTGCTCAATATTGACTAAACGCATGAAAAAAAATATCCCTAATTAGGAAATAATGAAAGGCAACCTAAATCATTTTTGTATTGTTAAAGGAAAACATCGATATCGGGTATTTAATAATATGTGCACGTACTACGAGTACGATAAAATGACAATATTGTCTTATTCATAGGTACTGCAAGAATCGTATGGAACATATGTGCCCATATCGATATTCACAGTGATTACTTTCTTCATTTGGATTCTGATCTATCGATACGTGCCCGAGACGGAAGGAAAGACCTTGGAGGAGATACAGATAGAATTGCGTGAAAAACATTGATAGTTACTGTGCGCTCAATATAGGTGTCACTGTCACAAAATATTTATTGAAATACAATTTGAACCTGAATTAAAGTGCACATTTTTTTCCAAACTTTGCGGCATTACATAATCATTTCTTCGAATCTGTAACATCGAGCATGATCTCGATTATCGTGCACGAGTCACCTAATGTAACGTGGAATGATATGGATATTATTCATTTGAAACTCAAGTTTAACCTTAAAATTTATATTATAACTTCAAGCTGCAAGCAGTCTTTTTTTAGAGTTTAATATGCAATTTAAGGATTAAGGGGGGAGTCTCATGTGAGACCTCAAAAATATCAATTTTTTTTGCTTCATTTTTTGAAAGTATATACAGGGTGTCCCGTAAATAGTGTAAGAACCGGAAATGGGGGGTAGCTGAGACGATTCTGAACAACAATTTCCTTTGCAAAAATATCGGATGGGGCTTCGTTTTTGAATTATTAACGAAAAACACTGACCAATCACGGCGCTCGCCTTCCGCGCGCTCAGGGCCGTCCGACCTCGGAGAGCCACCGCGCCAGGTAGGTAGCAAGATGCACGTTGAAGATACATCGAGGAACGAATACAAATAATTAAAAATACTACCACTACAACTGTTACCTAATTCGTTAATTACTACGTAATTAGTACGTAAATTACTAAATCAAATTTATTAATTATTTGTATTTGCTGTTTCCGAGAAAGAAGGAATAAAATCTCGGAATTTTTAGGAAATTAACCCTTCGCAACCGAGTGACGCTTCTCGGCAGAGTGTTTTAAAATAAAAATAAAAATTATTATCAGAAAATTAAAAGAAATACGGTAAGAACCATTTGTAACCGTTTGTTATTAAAAACTGTACTGAAAAAGCAGACTGGATTTCTGCGTACCGAAACATTCCTCGAATGCAAAGGGTTAATAGAGTGTGGCGGCCAAGGCACCACATACGCCTTAGCCGTTCGAAGCCGCTACAATGTATGGTTGCACACGAGACGATGGTTGCACACGAGACGACCAGAGCCGCGTGAGCCGAAAAGCCGTTGTCGTCTCTGACCGTCTTTTGTTTTTGAAGGCCTCTTGGTACGGTGGCGATGATCGTACCAGAGAATCGAGCGTAACCCGCACCACGAGTCACGTCGTTGTACGACAGCAACAATACAATTGTGCGGAACGGAACAGAGCGGAGTCATTATCTTCCCGATCCCACATTGGTGACCCCGACGTGATCTCGCCGCGCAAGTAAAGTTTTTTTAAGAAAATTTGGACATTTTTCGTATACGGACAATATTAGTTAGGGTAGAGAAATATGTGTATAGTGTTAAGGACATAAGAAAAGGACACGGTTTGACAAATAGTAAGCGCGGTGTGTGTGTGCGGTGAAACTATTTTTTTTTGTGACCAAGACTGGTAAAATGACTGACCCTAACGTTAACGCAGGGACATCCGCGGGTGTGCCGTTGGCAGTTGATCGCGTCGCTGTACGGATACCCGAGTTTTGTCCGGGAGACCCGGAGATGTGGTTTTCAATGGTAGAGAGAAGTTTTGAGGTATCCAATGTAACGTCGGAGACCACGAAATTCGGGTACATTCTCGGCGCGTTAAGTGCGCGACACACCGCGGAAGTAAGAGACATTATCATGAATCCCCCGGCCGCGGATCCGTACACGACGCTAAAAAATGAGTTCATTCGCCGGCTTAGTGCGTCGCAGGAACAGAAAACGCGGCGGTTATTGGAACACGAGGAAATCGGGGACAGAAAACCATCCCAATTTCTTCGTCACCTGCGCGGATTGGCCGGTACGGCTTTTTCGAACGGTGTATTGCGGACGCTTTGGATGGGCCGACTACCTGCTAATATGCAGGTGATTTTAGCCACGCAGCGGGACACCCCGCTGGATAAGGTGGCAGAGTTGGCAGACGCTGTTGCGGATACGATGACACCGCGGGTACAAGTCACGGAGGCCGCGATTACGGGCGTATCTGCATCCTGCCAAATACCCCCGCCGGGCCCGAGCATCGAGGCCATGTTAAACATTAAGATGTCACAATTGGCTCTTTCCTTGAGGCAGGAAATTTCTGCCATCCGTGAATCCTTGGTGGACCAGGGGCAATCTTCCCGTCGCAGGTGGACCCACCGAAATCATCCAAACTCGCGCTACCGCAGACGATCTCTATCGCGATCGCGAGAGCGGCCCGCGGGAGGACAAATGGACCATCAAGGGAAATGCTGGTACCATTGGCGGTTCGGTCCGGCCGCGCAGAGGTGCGTTGCACCGTGCAATTGGAACGCCACGGATCAGGGAAACGACCTGGGGAGTCGTTGATGGCGGCCAGCGACACAAATCCAGCATCACGCCGCCTCTTCATCTTAGACAACAGCTCGAAGACGGAATTTTTAGTGGATACCGGGGCCGATTTGTGCGTTTTTCCGCGCCGCCTGCTAGGCGGATTGCGAGAAAGATCGGAGTACCAGCTGGCGGCGGCGAATGGGAGTGTAATTAACACCTACGGGACAGTGTCGTTAAACCTGCACCTCGGCCTACGACGGGATTTCGTGTGGCGATTCGTGGTTGCGGATGTTACAAAACCCATAATCGGGGTAGACTTTCTCGATCACTTCGATCTTATGGTGGACATCCGCAATCGTCGCCTCGTCGATCGGACCACGTCGTTAACGGTCCGCGGAACACGAGCCGAGGATGAAACGCCGTCGGTGAAGACAGTAGCAGGGACTACCGTTTACCACCAGCTCCTGATGCAGATGCCGGAACTTACACGGCCTAGCGGCACCCCGATGAGGACTACGCACCAAACGGTGCATTACATCGAGACAACCCCTGGACCACCCGTTTCCAGCAAGCCGCGGCGGCTTGCACCGGACCGGCTCAGGGCTGCCCAGAAGGAGTTCGACGCGATGGTGAAGATGGGCATCGCTTGTCCTTCGAAGAGCGCGTGGTCAGCACCCCTTCATATGGTTCCGAAGAAGGGCGAAGAAGCTTGGAGGCCTTGCGGTGACTATAGAGCGTTAAACGCACGGACAATTCCCGACCGATACCCCGTGCGTCACATTGAGGATTTTGCGCAACAACTGAGTGGCAAAAAGGTATTTTCCACAATAGATCTCGTCCGAGCTTATAATCAGATTCCGGTTGCGTCGGAAGACGTCGGAAAAACGGTCATTACAACGCCGTTCGGGCTTTTTGAATTCCCGTACATGTCGTTCGGGTTACGAAATGCCGCGCAAACATTTCAGCGCTTTATCGACGAAATTTTACGCGGTTTCGATTTTTGTTACGCGTATATAGACGACATTTTGGTCGCCTCAGAATCCCAAGCCGATCACCTGCGCCATTTAGAATTATTATTTAAACGATTAAAAGATTATGGCATTGTTGTTAATCCGAATAAATGCACGTTCGGACAGGAAGAAGTTAAATTTCTAGGCTATCGGGTAAATGAAAGCGGCACTCAACCTTTGCCCGGCAAGGTACAAGCCATAAAGTCATTTCTCCTTCCGAAAAACGCGAAGGATTTGAGGCAGTACTTGGGAATGCTTAATTTTTACCGCCGTTTTATCCCAGATGCCACTCGCTTTCAAGCACCCTTGAACGACTTTCTAGCCGGCAATTTAAAGGGCAAGACCTCGATAGCCTGGACTTCGGAAGCGCGTCAGGCTTTCGAAAATACCAAAAATAGTTTAGCAAACGCAACCCTGCTTTCTCATCCTGCGATCAACGCTCCATTGTCGGTTACCTGCGATGCTTCTGATTACACCGTAGGAGCTGTTTTACATCAGTGCGTCGGCAACGAACGACAACCATTAGCATTCTTTTCTAAGAAATTAGGATCTGCCGAAAAGAAGTATTCAGCTTACGACCGGGAACTACTTTCTATCTATTTAGCAATAAAACATTTCAAACATATGCTCGAAGTCAGACATTTCACGATTTTTACAGACCATAAACCCATAACTTTCGCTTTCAAACAGAAATTAGATAAATGCTCTCCTCGACAATTCCGATACCTAGATTACATTGCGCAATTCTCTACAGATATTCAACATATTTCCGGTAAAGACAACGTCGTTGCCGATGCACTGTCCAGAGTGGAAACGGTTAACCACTCGATTAATTTCGAAGAATTGGCAAAATCGCAAGCCCAGGATGAGGAGTTGCAGCGGTTGTTGAATAGCCTGCGATTACGCAAAGTCTCGTTGCCTGGCACGTCTTCCGAAATTTTTTGCGATATTTCGACTAAGAATGTAAGACCTTATGTCACCCCTCCTTTCCGACGTGCAGTTTTTAATATGTTACATGTATTATCACATCCAGGTATTAACGCGACGATCAAGCTCATAACGCAACGTTATGTTTGGCCGTCGATTAAAAGAGATGTTCGCACGTGGACACGTTGCTGTATACTGTGCCAAAGATCAAAAATTTCCCGTCATGTGACTGCACCATTGGCTACATTTGTTAAACCTTCTGCGCGATTCGAACACATTCATTTAGACATAGTAATTTTACCGGTGTCCGAAGGTTTCAGGTATTGTCTGACCTGTGTAGACAGATATACGCGGTGGCCGGAAGCCTTCCCCATGGTCGATCAGGAGGCCCAAACCGTAGCTCGAACCTTTTATGACGGTTGGGTAGCGCGGTTTGGTGCTCCCGTACGGATTACCACCGATCAGGGTAGGCAGTTCGAATCCAAATTATTTTTTGCGCTGAACAATTTAATTGGATCCACACGCCTTCGCACAACGGCGTATCACCCAGCGGCTAATGGGATGGTAGAGCGTTTTCACCGACAGCTCAAGTCGGCTATAAGGTGCCACGGATCCGACAGGTGGACAGAAATACTTCCGACGGTTCTACTCGGTATTCGTTCCGCCTGGAAAGAAGACCTCGGCGCTACCTCAGCGGAATTAGTTTATGGCGAGCCATTAAGATTACCGGGAGAGTTCTTGTCTTCGCATTCAGCGGAAGGCACAGAAAATGCTTCCGATTTTACTAATAGACTACGCAACCATTTTTCTAAATTGAGTCCCTCTAATGCATCACGCCATTCCGTTAATCGTACATTCGTTTTCAAAGATCTTAGCAGTTCAACACGTGTTTTCATCCGAACAGATTCAGCCAAAACTATTTTACAACCCGCTTATGAAGGTCCATACGCCGTAGTGCGCCGAGGCGAAAAAACATTTACAATAAACATTAGAAGTAAGGAAATAAATATATC